TGTTGCACTTGCCTCCGCAGCTTTGGCTATCGCCTTCGCAAAGCCTCAATGGAGTGGCTCTATGGAATCCACCGAAAAGGTACTTATTCCAAGTTTTTTCCCCCAGCTCCATTAAACCAAAAATTTTCAGCATCATCACAAGCACCATCACCGACATACACGCGCGCCTCCAACAATCGCTCCTGTCGTCACAGGGGAAACTCCGAGCTTCACAGAACCTCCTGTTGACCCCACTCAATTTGCTCCAGTCCTAACCAACGTGGTCAACAGACAACATTTTAGCGTCAGTTCTAAGTTGAACGAAGTTGTTCCTAATCTAAAGGTGACCGTCGCACTTCATTTCAAGTCGTGCTCGAATAAAGGAAAGTTGAATGTTCCAGCCACACCACCGACATACTCGCTCACCACCAGCAACCGCTCCTGTGTTTACAGGCGAATCACAAGCTCCCACAGATCTCCCTGTTGGCCCTACGGAACTCGTTGAGGGGAAGCGAGAGGAAAAGGTAACGATATTATCTTGATTTCTCAACTGTTTATTCGATAAAGGCAATTATTTGAGCTTCACCACCGCCACACTCGCTCTCCAAGAACAGTCCCTCCTGTCTTCACCGGCGAAACCCCAGAATTTAGCGGCCTGCCCGTCGGCCCGACCGGCGTTGCTGAGTTAAAATACAAGGTATATCGTAACCACTTTTTACTCTGTATTTCTTCAATTGCATTTGGGAGTTCAGAAAGGATTAGAATAAATAGTAAGTTTCAGCCCCATCACAAGCACCACCATCGACACACTCGCCCTCCTCCATCAGCCGCCCCTGAGACAACTGTGACGGCAACTGGTTTCCCTGTCGATCCTTCTCATACTGTTCCAGTGGTAACGATCGCAGAAGTTACGGTGGAAATGCCAGAAGCATCTACGGATGCTCTGAGTGCGACTGCTGAGGGTTCCGGGAGCATGCAAGTATGAGCACTGCGGCTACTTGTCATATGTACATACTTGAGAAAACACCTGTAAATATTTTTTTCAATCTTGCACAACATTAAAGTTTAAAATTTGAACTGTTGTTGTAGTACTGTATACTGGGCAAATGCCACTTACAACCGATCCACTGTATTCGAATAGGACGTCACCAGGGCGTGGCGCACAGAACTCCCGTCCGAGTTCAGCAGACAGAATACCTACCGAGAATAAGCAAGAGAGATACTCTGGAAAGGAGCAGAGGCCAGAGAAACTTAGAGAAGGTGTAAAGTCAATCAAAATGGAGATGATCCCAAGCGAGATGGCGTTGCTGTAGAGTAACGGAGCCACTTTGAATTCTTTGTGTCCGCTGCCGACAGATTCAGCGACCGAACTTTGGCTATGAGGACAGACACCAGGAAAGGGTATTGGACAGCAAAATCCACGCACTCGCCGCAAGCCGAAACGTACAGGTATTAGCTAGACCTTCAAGTAATTTTCTCTCGAGAAGGAATACTGTGAAGGTAACTCACTACGGTGGACTTTACCAAATGGAAAATGACCATGCTGCAGTATGAAAGCTTGACGCACCTCATACCTGTTAGTGCTGCGATGGAACCAGCTGTGATATATATTTGTAAATATTCTCTTCACCTGCGGTTCGCTTGCTTCCTCAGACGGCTCGCTCTCTATCCCCTACCGCCATCACTGCCCCGATGCCTTGCGTGGCCCGATATAGGGTTTTTGCCAGCTAGTTAACGAAGTTTTCTCCTTCTTCACCACCGACGAGTCCGTATTTTCGCCTTAACTAAAGCCTTGGCGTGTCTCTTGGTATTGCTCCCGAAAGCTAACTCTCCTAAAGCTCGCGTCTTTTGCCAGCATTTCTAACCACCTCCCTTCGACTTCATGACTCTTTAGAGCTCATTGTTTCGGGACCAAACTGCGCCGTCTCTTCTCAATCCACTTTGACCGTCACCCCGCCTTTTGCGTGCATACCATAAGATGACCTCATTACGAATCTCCTTGTTTGACGGATTAATGCCTAGGAATCTGGGGAACACTTTCCTGTGTGCATCGTCTCAGATCTTCCCTTTCAGGTTTGTGAAAATCTCGTCATAGGGTTTTCCGCTAACCCTTGCTCATTTGGGGAGCTCGATAGCTACATGCACGTGCAAAGAGTGAAAGAGAGGAATACAATGCCTACATGAGACCAACTGTGAAAAATCGGTTCTTCCTTTTTTCTAAAGTCAGAAAAAAGACATAGACCTTTTTGCAAGGGTACAAAATCACTCCATTCGCAAGCATGCCCTTCGTGTTATGCTTTGCCTTCTTTGCCACACAAAAGACATTTCAAGGATCTTGCTATGACTTTCAAAATTCTGACAGTTGAGTTGAGGCCCACCATGTTTAATTTTCACGCTGGTTAGATGAGCTCTAGATGGATCAAAATCAAATAGTGTCACTAATAGTGAGAACATTTCAGAGTGGAACTATTTGCTGTCAGAGTGCCACCTTTGTTGAACAGCATTTCTAATGAGGCCACTCTGTATCGGGCCACGCAAGGCATAGGGGCAGTGATGGCTATAGGGGATAGAGAGCGAGACATATGAGGAAGCAAGCGAAGGCTAAGCGCAGGTGAAAAGAATATTTCGACAGGCCTCTGAACGAAGTACTTCTCACGAAGGGAGCTCACAAATATAATTCACAGCTGGTTCCATCGCAGCATGAACCAGTATGAGGTGCGTCAAGCTTTCATACTGCAACATGGTCGTTTTCCATCTGGTAAAGTCCACGGTAGTGAGTTACCTTCACAGTATTCCTTTTCGAGAAAAAATTACTCGAAGGTCTAGCCAATACCTATACGTTTCGGCTGGCGGTGAGTGCACGGATTTTGCTGTCCAATATCCTTTCCTAGTGTCTGTCCTCACACCCAAGGTTCTGTCGCTGAATCTATCGGCAGCAGACACAAAGTATTCAAAGGGGCTCCGTTACTCTACAGCAGCACCATCTCGTTTGTGATCATCTCCATTTTGATTGACTTAACACCTCTCTAAGTTTCTCTCTCCTTTCCAGAGTATCTCTCAGAAGCACGGGCTTGAATACTTCTGCGCTTTATCAGTTAAGCAACCTATTAGGACCCTTCAACGGGCGACTCGACGAACTAACTTCCTTGCTAAGGAAATTTGCTTTGGGTAGCTTATTCTAGGTAGGTATTCTGTCTGCTGAACTCGGACGGGAGTTCTGTGCGCCACATCCTGGTGACGTCCTATTCGAATACAGTTGACCGGTTGTATGTGGCACTGGCCTAGTATACAGTACTACAACAGTTCAAATTTTAAACTTTAATGTTGTGCAAGATTGACAAAAATATGTACAAGTGTTTCCTCAAGTATGTACATATGACAAATAGCCGCAGTGCTCATTCTTGCATGCTCCCGGAACCCTCAGCAGTCGCACTCGAAGCATCCGTAGAAGCTCCTGGCATTTCCACCGTAACCTCTGCCATCGTTACCACTGGAACAGTATGAGAAGGATCGACAGGGAAATCAGTTGCCGTCACAGTTGTCTCAGGGGCGGCTGATGGAGGAGGGCGAGTGTGTCGATGGTGGTGCTTGTGGTGGGGCTGAAACTGTCTACGTAGTACTATTCCTTTCTAAACCCTTAAATGCAATTGAAAAAATACAGAGTGATAAGCTTCTTTAGTATACCTTGTATTTTAAATCAGCAATGCCGGTAGGGCCAACGGGCAGGTCACTGGATTCTGGTGTCCCGTCGGTGAAGACAGGAGCGGCCGTTCGTGGAGAGCGAGTGTGGCGGTGATGGTGCTTGTGATGATGCTAAAATATTACGGTTCGGCTGGAGGTGAGGAAAAAATCTGCAATGCTTACTTACCTTTCCTGTTGATTCCGCAGATCCACCCCATTGAGGCTTCGCGAAGGCGACAGCTAGAGCAGTAGAGACAAGTGCAATAGAGAATTTCATGGTGAGCTGTTCCTGTTGAAAACCGCTGCTTTATATAGCTCTTTGCGAGCGTCTTATCTGAAGTCACGGGCCCTTGCCGCCCACGGTGTCTGCACACCTGATCACTCACGACAACTGAGCTTTCGCTTTCTTGATAAGAACTTAAGTCAGAGTTATTCGAAACTGGGATGAGTACTACTGTTTCCTTGGCTAAATCTTTCTCGTTATAACAAAAATGTAATTAAGAAATCCCCAGTCGTTAAGTGGAAACAAACTTTTTTCGAACTTGCTTTGGGGTGATGAGATCGTTTTACGAGAAAATGGATACGTTCACCCCTTGTTTGTCGCCACTTGTTTCAAATTGCGAAAGTGTGTTTGGAGCAACACTTCCTTTAGCTTACATACAGCGAGGACAAAGCGGATCTGATGAGCTCAAAGTAGGGAAATTCAGAAGAACTTTTGAAAATGCTCTGATCGCGTCTGAGTGGTAGGGAACGTCTACAGCCATCTACGATCTTGGGACGACGAAGCTATTAATCATCCTCCCCTTGTTGAGAGAAACAAAATGAAGGAAAACACTACTTCGAGTTTTCTGAGTCGTACTGTGAGAGTTGAGCGCGCTGTTGTTTCAACTTTAACTTCGGTGAAGTCGAATGAAGATGACCTCTTTCAGCTTTGAAGAGCGCATTTACGCGAATACGTTGCCAGGTCCTTTGACTGTCAAATGGTCGTTGTTTACAGTAGTGCTTAGCTGGATCTACCTGATTTTCAAGGAAAGATGTAAGTCTTTCATGAAAGGGATGAAATTCGTATCCCAATATCTCACCTAATCACACCCACACATAGGAGGTACTTTGAGATAACGAATGATTCCTAACCCGTAGTCATTTAGAAATTGAAAGCTTCATCAACGTTGCTTAGCGATTGAAGTATGATTTGATTGATTCACGAAGATTCCTTGACCATCGTGGAGGAGAGTGCCTAATAAGCAACTGTGCAGGTGTTTCGAAGGTGAGCGAACGAGTTCGGAGGCTAAATTTTCCTGACGTCTATCAATCCCGTTATGGGATGCGTTTCCCACGTTCGACTTTCATTCAGACCTCCTCGTGGTGGGTTTTAAGTGCGCATATAAGCTTTCCAGTGACCTGGGTGGTAAGCGTATATACAAATCAGTAGTTTCATGCTCCCAGACAAATCTGTTACCAGCTAGCCAGGCTTTGAGAATGGTAGACAAGATTACCCTAGACGGATAATGTTCCTAAATTCGATTCCCGGACCATACGTGTGGTATAGTGGCCACCTAACTCTGCACTGCCTCTGCCCGAAGTCATAACTTACTGCATTATAGTAATAACACTGACAGTTCCATGAAACCGAGCTTACGAGCAAATGGGAATACCTATCTACAGTATGACAATCATTCTAGGCATTTCTTGTGACACAACACCACAGCCCAGGATAGCCTTCAAATGCTCTGTACGAAGTTTGGAACTCTGCGATTTCCTTCTGAAATCTTCTAAAGGAAACCCACCTATACGACCACATTTGGCTTGAGATGTTTGGGCTTTTCCATGTTTCACGTCAACAACAAATCAACGACCAGGTATTAAAGAATGGTTGTTGATCTCGGAAACACACCCGTAAATAGGTTTGCAAGGAGTGCTGATAAGAGTGCGTCAGTGTAGTGACATCAGTTTCGATGCTTTTCACATGGAATTAGACACATACTGGTAACTGACACTCATTCACTACGGGATCAGCTGGAACTGAACACAAACAAAAAACAAAGGTGCACCACCCGTCAGGTTGGCCAAGCTTCACTTTGTAATAAAAAGGTTTTCTGTTCCAAGGCTTTCCACTCCATTCTACCTTGACTGTCCATCTGAACTCCGGTAATACTTCAATAAGGTCATTCGAAGACGGAAGCCTAGACACCACAAAGCAAGTATGACGTTGATGTGCCATGAACGTGCCCCATACCATTTACGCTTTCGTTTCAGAATCGAGCAGTTTCGAGTTTAAAGGAATGGCACGGGAATCGAACTCATAGGGCTCTCTGAATATTTTTCCACAAGAGAACGCTGTAATTTCCTCTTCGCAAGAGACGCAAAGGAGGAGAACTGATCCTCATATTGGGTATCAAAAAAAAAAGTCCAAACTCGAACCTCAAGTTCAGAGCTACTCCCCAACTGTGCTTCTCTGTTGAGTGAGAACTTTTTGTAGCCTCGTGTCAAATTGAACTTTGAATATCTAAGTTCCTCCTCCTTCTTCTCTAAGTCTCAATGAAGTGACTCTATGGAGCCTCAATGGAGTGGCTCTGCGGAGTCGACCTTGAAAGTAATTGTTGTATACTTTTTCCTAAGCCTTTTCTTTTTATGTTCCTTTCCTTTCTCCAACAGTATCAAAGCATCATCACCATGAATCAATTTTACTAAGAGTCCTCTTTCACTGGAAGATTTCCTTCCTGTTGGTGACGAGGCTATGGGGCACGACCCTATGTAGGTTATGGACACGAAGGTGAATCGCCTACCAAAAGTCACTATTAACTTCGCATCGAGGAGTTGTGTTCGAGGAATAGAGCCCCTCTTTCTACTGCGTTAGTTCGATCTTACCTTCTGTCCCCTCGCGAATGTATTCACGTGGATGCAGTTAGTATTCTTCACATCGCCTCAGCAGAAAAATTTACATCCGAGAGACTGGGATGGAACATCATGCGACTGATGGGCCAGATTGGTTACTAGCTGAAACCACCACACGAACTCCACGAGGACGCTAGCGCTGCTGTCAAAAATTCTTCTCGAAAATCTGATCGAAAGGAATGCAATACCTCCTCGAGCTCCTCGAGCGACAATGATCCATTGGACTACAGGGTGACCCACATGAAGTGTGACGCAGAAAACTAGCATCAAAATTATACAGATCAAACCAAATAGGAAACTATTACTCCTACACAATCATCACAAAGTTCTATACAACATATCACATCTCGCAAGCAGAATGACCATCTTTTGCTTTAATGCAAGCATCCAACCTCCTTCGGAAATTTTCAAGAATGCGCGCAATCACTTTCATCCCACGCTTCTACAAGAAAGTTTTCTTTCAGAGGTTCTTAAGACCAGTGTTTGAAAGCGCAGGCTTTTTGCTCCAGAATCGACCATACACAAATATTCAAAGGATTGAGATCGAGGAGTTTGAAGGTCAAATCTGCTTCGCCCCCAGAACCCGGAAGCGTGGTTTTACAACACTGCAGCATCTTCTTTGCGCTTTGGGCTGATGCCCAATCCTGTGGAAGGTTCAGCTGACGTTCATCGCGTTCCTTTCCGCCCAAGCGATCACCACTTCCTCCAGCCCAAATGCCCATAAGTTGTTTTTTTTATTGGCCGTCACACTTCATGTGGGTCACCCTGTATTCTGGCTTGCGAAAAGGACGAATGGAGACTTCGATAGACATACAGGATATCTATTTGAATCATGTACACGGGAGAAATCTTCAAGATTCTGTCTAGTGAGATAATCTTCGCAACAATCTCGATCATCCGCTCGAAGACGCCAGCCTCATCTCTGGTGATATTTGCTGTTTTTTTATGGGTCAGGTGTCATGTATGAAATTTACACTCGGTGGTGTCTTCTAACGGGAACGTAATTACTCCCCTGTCTGAGAAGTTCGTTGTAGCTGCTAAACTCACCACGATACTCCAGTTTTTTTCGTCAATGAGAGGTTTCAGTAGGAAATGTAGAAATTGAGAACTTCAAGAATGACTCAACAGCGGAGAGAGTGCATGATGATGAAATGCATTTTTGATAATAGTCAATACTTTTCGTATGGTCCAGCAATTTGACTCCTGTTGTGTAAGTCCCAGGATCATTAGTATTGGCCTTTGTCGCTTTAACGTATGTTGTGACGTTAGTACGAACCTTTCAGCCGGAAGATGTGATTGGCGTGAAGGTGGACTCTGCTCCAAGGAGGCAGAAGCGTATTGCTCTGCACGTATGTAGCTCCCAATGGATTGGAAAAGGTTGAGTACAAGAAGTTGGCTGACTACTAGTTTGCTGTCGCGTGACCTGAGCTGGTTGACGGTTCTTGTCTATTGTACTTACAATTAGCGACCTTCAGCAAGTCAATTTGTCTGTTGAACGCGCTCCATTTTAAAGGCACAGCTCACGTTAATTTTGGGGTGTCCGGTTTTTTGGCGAAATTTGATAAAAAATGTTAGATACGGCCTACAACAGTACAATGGTAATAAAGAAAGCGCGAAAAAGATGAATATAAAGAAATAGACAGCTACAAAAAACAAGGGAAAA